TCCCCCTATTATTTTTAAAATAAAAATATATAAATATACAGAAAAATAAACGTCTCAAACATAAATAAGAAAGCACATAATGGCAACAGGGATAATCAGAGAGAAATGGCCTGGAATATTGAGGTCAGTGACATCACACCCCACAGCAGTGAGAATTCTCTGTCCCATGGTTTGTCAAATTGATTCTTCTTAAAGCAGCTAATAAAGTTATTTCAGAGTGTCTCCACAGGGAAGGAGCGGACCCAGCTCGCCATAAGTAATGGTATACAAGGGAGTGGGGTACTTGTCATATGCACTAACTGGCCAATTCAGCTTTAAAGTTACAGTAATATTATATAGTGATGTCTCAAAGACACATTAAAGTACCGTGCACCAGTATCAGTGTACATCATCATCAGTATGAATTTGAGCCTCCTCATTAAGGTTGGTGTCAGTCTTTTCAGCCCAGAAGGATTTAAGGTCTTCTCCTCTCTATCTCTTGTACATGCTTCTCTTTCCTTAAATATGCATACACTTTCCTTTAGATTCCCATCTAGGTTTTCCTCTTTAGCTTTCACACTATTTAAACTTCCTTTCTTCAAACAACTTACAACATAGTATTAAGATAGAAGTACTTAATACTGATCAACAGACTTCCTTATCACAACAGTTACTTCCAGCCTATCGCCATAAGATAATCCAATTCAGGATTAGTTAGGGTCTTTAAAAGCCTTTCCATGTTCATTAGACTTTGGAAAAAGACATATCGGTTTTCCAGAATGAGAGAAAATTTGGATTGTAGTATTGACCCCAAGCTTCTCTGAGGTGTAGCTACCATAGTTTGAACACCATTGTCCTGCCACTTCATATATGGTTAAACCACAAAATGGCACCCAGATTATTTCACACAAAAGGGCATAGGCCTAGCCATATAAAAAGGTGCCAAATGCATTGGGTTATATTATTAGCCAGATAACAAAGCACATTCGGGGCAAACAAAGCCACCCTTTTAAGGAAAACACAATTAGAATATGACTGCTTGCATAACTCACGGTCTTTCTAATTTCTAAAATAGGTTTTTGTTCCATCACCCATCACTTCTGCTAGGCAGTAGGACCTCGTGTTTGGTCAACTTCAGTCTGCTCATTTCACATGGGCAATGCGATTGTTACAGAACTATATATGGATGCAACAGGTCACTGTCTCCTTTGACTGGGAACAGCACATAAGGCTTAGAGCCCAGCTCTGTTTGAGATTTAAAATTGCTTGTGATCATGACATTTGATGCCTTTTTGACCAGTGCAGCATTCACAATATATTATTACCATGAAAAAGAAGGCCTCTAAAATCACTTACTCGTCATTAAAACTCTACTCCATTAACAGCCTACTGTTCTCCATTTTATCTTCAACTTCCTATTCCACATCTTCACATGACATATTACTTTCATAACTCCTGGCTTTATGAACTGTCCCCCACACTGTGTACATTGTTTGGGGGCAAAATCCTAAGAACCAGACAATAAAGCACTCTTTTTTTTTTTTTTTTAAAGTGAACCTGCCAAGGATGCAATTCTCTGCTCCTCCTACATATTACAATAAATATTGTTAAAATAAATAAAATATATTAAAAATAAAGAAATTTGAGATAACACAATAGATATCCCTTCGGATTTCAATCTCTGCAGTTTAAAGCACTCTTTTTTTTTTTTTTTTAAAGTGAACCTGCCAAGGATGCAATTCTCTGCTCCTCCTACATATTACAATAAATATTGTTAAAATAAATAAAATATATTAAAAATAAAGAAATTTAACATAACACAATAGATATCCCTTCGGATTTCAATCTCTGCAGTTTGACTTTAAAACAATATTAGTGAAGGCTATTTTTTATTCTAGCACTATTATAACATAGGAAGGGTACATCATGTGATGGCATAAGAGCCATAACAGCATATAAATAACTTTGATATAAAAGGACTATTATATTTTGCGACAGGTTTACTTTAAGAAAATCCAATGCTTTTCTTACATAACACACTACCCAACACGTAGAAGCAAATACATTCTGAGTTCTATAGCCACAATGTGCTGTGAAAAGACTTTTGTAGTTTAGATACGAGACTGAACCCGCCTAAAGTGGATTGTTCGTTTTGGATGGGCTCTGGTGTTTTGAATTAGCAAATGGCTTATTATATCTCTTGGAAGATTTGCCCTCCAAAGCTCCCAACTATGTCTCCCCCACACAGCAAGCACTGTAAGGTTTCCTCATGCTGTGCACTATAGCAGGTCAAATTAACAGAGACTCCAACAGAGTGAAGAATAAGTGCCCCTCTCAATGGTTGCAGTAGGAGAACAGAACTGCTGACACTGGTGAAAGGATCTTACTGCCAGAGCACCCCATGTCATATAAAAAGCTGGAGGGCAGTTCAAATCATTGGCACCCCAAAACTGAAATATTGACGTGCCATGTAAATTACTCTTTAGTTTTTTTTTTAACAAAATGCATATAGGGCAAGACTGGAGCATGTGTAAAATATAAAACTCTGAGGACCAATTATGGAAGTCTTGTATTGATAGCTAGCCACATCTTTTGGAGGCTGCAGGCTGAAGTGTGGCTGACAACTGTTGGAGGTGTGAGATGGGACTGGGATGCACAAGGAAAGACATTTTGCCTTTGTTAAGAGTAAGAGTTTCCAGAGGATTTCACAATGGTGATCACGCTGGTGGCAGCAACTTTTGCTGGAGTGATGGGCCCCAAGGATACTGTGTGTGCAAAGTTCTGCAGAGCTTCATACTTTGCTCTTAGGGCGTCCAGCTCCAGTTTTATGCTGGAATTCTCATGTGCCAGCTTCTCCACTTCCTGCTGGAGGTCGTTCTTCTGCTTCTCAAGTTCCTCCTTTTGAGACACACGTTTTACGCGACAGCTTGCGGCGTAGCCCCTGTTCTTCAGGGTCCTTCTCCTCTGTTTCAGCCGCACCACTTCTTCCTTTGATAAACCACGCAAGTGGTGGTTAAGCTCCCGCACAGACATGGACATTAATTCATCATCTGAGAGCATTGGAGTGTTCTCCCCAGTCTCTCTTTTTACCTACAAAATAAGAATCATAGTGTAAACGGAAAAAAAGTCATATCAGCAGCACTGAATTAACATACAACTCAAAATTCCTTTAAGAAAAAAAAAAAAAGAAGGAAGAAGGTGTTGTACTGCTCTGGACCAAAACAAAGTTTGCAATCACTGTAACCGTATCTCTCTCAGCACATCACGTCCATACTGAACTTCAATTCATTGAATCACTGAGCTCCAACACTAGCAGATGGTTTTTGTGGGCAAACTGTAGTATAAACTACAAATCTGGCCTCACTCAAGCACTGAATGAAGCCGATGTGAACAATACATTATATCACAGCATCTAGAATTGAGTTTACTGAATTCAGATCAATTAATGTCCAGCAATTTTTTTAGATTTAACAGAATGGGGAAAGTTGAGAACAACTGTCAATTTAAAACTATTGTAGGACTCTAATGGTGATATTTTCTATAAGAGGGAGAAGCAGCACAAGGAGCCAATCAGTTGAGCTGCAGTGCTCGTGTGAAAACAAGGAACCTGCTGATACGAGGAAAGAGCAGAGTGGGAGAGAGAGAGAGAGAGTGAGAGTGAGAGAGAGAGGCTCATCAATGTGCTGCTTCTCCTTTCACTATCCAGTGACAGGTGCAAAGGGGGGGGGGGGGGGGGGAAAATATGAC